AATTACTAATATTAGTCAATTGTGATAAATTATTAAACTCAGGGTCCGCGAAATTTTCTCACATATTGTATACTATAAAAAATAATTATTAACATATGTACGTGTTTCCTTCAGTGTTATAAATTTGGAACGGGTTTTAATTTACTCTTGCAGATCTAAATAACGTCTCCTGTCCGCCGTTAAATCCGGAGGGTCGAGGGTATTTAATGTGTTCCCGTTTGACGACACCAAAACCGTGGAGAGGTAGACGAAGAGTGGCCAATCGACCGGGCACCAAGTGTTTCTTGAAGTGTCCCCATGGGTACCAGCTTCACGGGGAGTACGAATTGAGTTGTCGATCCGATGGCTCCTGGGATGGACCGAAACACGGCGAGTGTGTCAGTGAGTAGAATAACTATGAAAAAAGCCTTTTCCTTACTTACTATTGTACACGTTGTTTCAGTGTGAAACTGAACGTGAAAGAATCAATTACAGAATCCTTCGTTCCATGGTGAAAATACGCTTTTTCAATATAATACAGCGAGTTAATTAAAATTAATTTTAGCACAGTATCAACGCAATCTGTCACGATCCTAGTGGGAGAGTAATAATTTCCCTTTAAGAAAACTTCGAAGAAATATAATTCCCGATTTACAACTCTGCAGAATTTCTGTTACTTTCAATTCTTCCCTTTGACACCATCATTTGCCCAACCTTTCATGCAACTCTGCACCATAAATCTCTATCGAATCACCTTATTACATTTGCCATTTTCACGACGAAAGGTCAGTCTTTCACTATTCCTATAAACTCTCGCCATAAGCACTTTAAACATCGTCGCAAATTTCATACGTTCGATTGTTCGCAACGTAACTATCGCAATTCCTCGTAACAATGATTAAAAACAAAAAAATAGTATATCACTTTTAAGCCTTCGTGCTTCGTCACCTTCAACACGTTACCAGAGAGTTAATACGTATCCTGTGATAACGTGCTAGCATAGCCACGAGATAAGCGAAATAAGAGTAAAAGACGAAAGTCAGATTTATATAAACATTTTCCAATAAACCAGTTCCCCCATTCACGTTCTGTTGCAGGATACAGCAAACCTCGGTTAGAGTGCCCTAAGGACGTGATCGCGGAGCTATCTCCAGGCCGAGACGAGGCGTTCGTGACGTTCGATCAGCCGTCGACGGATCTCGATTGGTTCCGATACGTTCGATCGAAACCCTCTTGGGGGACCAGACTCGAGGCGAACCTAACCCCCGGTGTACACGAGATCACGTTCTTCGCGAGACACCCGGTATCGAAGAAGCAGGCCAGCTGCGTGTTGCGCATCATCGTCAAAGGTGATTAATTAATGCACGTGCATGAAATCAATGCGTGACATGTAAACTCTACGATGATAATCGGTATTGATCATCAAACGGCGCTATTAATCAACGGGGATCCTGTGGGTCCTGGGTACGAGTTTACGCTATCGGAAGACGGAATCGGGGACGATTAATTTTCCAGGGTTAAGGGACCGTTTCGGGCAACATGGGGAATATGCACTTACGTGCAGATGATTTAAGACGGTAGATCGTTCTCGTTTTGAAGTGTCGATTTGAGAATTTCTGGGTTAAATTGGAGGATCCTAAAAATGGATAAAATTATTGGGAATTGTTTTCATAGGATTATTACTGAATGTCAATTTTTTTCGGAGAATGTAAATGCAACTTTCAGCTTTTCTCTCCTATTTTTGAAAAGTAAAAGTGTCACAAGATGAAGTCGCTGGCGATGGCGACCGAAGTTTCGCAATTAGCGAATAACTCGTTCATTTTGTAACATTTTTACTTTTTAAAAATTGGAGAAAGAAGGTGAAAGTTAGATGTACATCCTCTGAAAAATTGAAATTTTTCATTCGGCAATTATCTATGAAAAAAATTCCCAAAGTTTAGCTATTTTCAGACGCCTCACGGTGGTATATCCCGTTAATTGGAAAAGTATTTTCTTGCGAGTACGGGATATATTGAATGTTCAAGTTGAAGCTGAAATTTAGTTTTGAAAAAATTTTCTTTCGTTATTTAAAATAAAAGACAAAGTTGGTGGGATAGCTTGTGCAACGATCTTCATTTACGTCTAATTAATCAAACGTGAATAGTAAAGTAGCCTGGGTACCAAGGTTACATTTCTCGTCCTTTGTTACGTTTTTATTCTACGTATGAGCTGAGGAATTTAAAAGATACTGTCTCGAGTAGAATTTTTTAAATGAAAAAAAGCAATAATGAAAATACCACGCATATTACCCAACATTTAATTTCTATGAATTTTTTACTGTTATTACACGTTTCATTTTCACAGAAAATGTCAATTTTCTGCGCACACAATCATGAACTTTTGCATAAACGTTTTTCATATTACCTTCACCTTGAAAACAGACCATCCTTTTGTTGCATCAAAAATCGATCGAAAGAGACACAGCTAACGAGCATTTTACTGGGAAGTATTAACCTTAAATATCACTGAAATTTTTTTAACAATACTATTAACGTTTCCTCACAGCGTAGATTTTTTACTTTATCTTATCAATATTACTTTTGCTACATCTTTTGAACTTTCACTATTACATACTTATTCGACGATTTCCTTAAAGTTTTAGAATATCCTTTTACTCAGTGAAATGGGAAGTTCCAAGTTTTCGATGCTGCAAAGCTGGCGTTACCCTTTAAATTTAGCCAAGAGCGTTCGAAAAACTTCCCTTTCCATTTCCGTTTAATTAACCCTTCTCTCACTTTCGCCGCGGATGGCCGTGTATATGTACACCAAAGAATCTTCCCCGGCAGCCTTGCGTCCGCTAAATTAAACGACACTCCCTCTGCTCGCGAGGGAAGTCTCGTTACGACGATCTGAGATACGGGTCGACGTCAGACATCCGTCGCCGACTTGCTTGAAACGAAACAAGTGAGAGAATGAGGGAGAGACAAAGAAGACAAAGAAGACAGAGACGGAGAAGGCAGAGACAGAGAAAACAGAGACAGAGACGGAGAAGACAGAGACAGAGACGGAGAAGACAGAGACAGAGACGGAGAAGACAGAGACAGAATGAAGGAGAAACAGAGGAGAGAGAATAGGGAGAGATAGAGAAGACAGAGAGAGAATGAGGGAGAGACAGAGGAGACTGAGAGAGAATGAGAGAGAGAATGAGGGAGAGACAGAGGAGACTGAGAGAAAATGAGGGAGAGACAGAGGAGACTGAGAGAGAATGAGGGAGAGACAAAGGAGACTGAGAGAGAATGAGGAAGAGAATGAGGGAGAGACAGAGGATTCTGAGAGAGAATGAGGGAGAGACAGAGGAGACTGAGAGAGAATGAGGGAGAGACAGAGGAGACTGAGAGAGAATGAGGGAGAGACACATGAGAGAGACAGAATAAGAGAGTGGTAGAGGAGGAGAGATGACAGAGAAAATGAGAGAAAGTAACAAAGAGGCGGAGAGGGGTATGACGTGTTACTGACTGAAAACCTATTACGCGAGAAACAGCTCTGGGTCCATTCAGTCGCATTTCTTCACGATTTAATGCGTCATTACATGTTCTCGCGTCTCTCCCTTTCTCTCTCTCTCTCTCCCTCTAAAGTCTCTCCCCTCTCGTGGCACTGGCCATTAACATAGGCTGTCTGAGACGTGCTAGAACGTCGCGTTCTCCTATTAAAAAACGCTTCAAGTGGTGTGTTCCCATCCGGACACTAGCAAGGCATTGTTCTTCGGGTACAACATGCAGATTGTCACGTGATACGTTTGGAAAAATTTGCTTCTAATACAGTTGATCATCACACACCTATATACTTCATTCTTCACAAATATCACGGGCAAGGTGTTTCGCTTGTGACACACTGTACGTTACATGGGCGTTCGCTGGAGATCTCGTCCCATGGAAATTTCGCATTGCGGCTCGAAGAAGTGTTCCTCCTTCGTCTACCGGAATCCCGGCCCCGACGCTTTAATTAAATGCGTTTCCAGGATAGGGTTCGCCACAATGCTGTATAATCTACGGATCGCTGGCCTTCGTCCCGCGAATTAGATTATTCGACGAATTCCCCGGCTGAACGCCCGACTGATTCTTGCCGGAAACCACTGAATCCCTCGCGACGGAATTACTCGATGCTCCCCTTGCACCACGATCCTTGTTGTTTTTCTCTTGGATAAAAGTCGGGGGATTAACGCGTTTGATAAAGTATCGAGCTGTTATCACAAGTAATTCTGTCTAGATGATAGCGTTTGAGAAATTGGTCAACGAATTGGAGAACTGAGGAGGAATTATGTTGATCGAAACAACGATAATTTGTGTAAACCGAGTGAATCGAAAAATCGAAGTGGTTCACATCTGTATTAAAATGAAAAATTACGCATTTACCAGTTCTTTCCTTTTTCACGCGGTGATAAAAAGAATTCTCATTTAATCTTGAGAGGTTAAATTGCAGAAGCTGTATCGATTTGTAATATTTTCACCTGATATTCGAAATATTGGACAAAAATTATTCACTCCTACGGATAAAGTGTTTCGATATGATTATTCCATTTGGCGATTCCCGAATCGTTATTAGATAAATTAACAACGTTATTATTCGAAAGAATAATTGGAATTTCATCGGAAGCGTGTTTCGTCATTGTCGCGTTTCTTCTTCTTTTTTTTTTTTTTCATATGCGAAGCGTGATTGATAATACCGTGCTGTTGAATTAAAACCAGCAGTTTTCAAACATTGCACGCTGTAACAATCCGTGTATGATTCGGCACCACGTGCGAGAAATACGGCGAAATTTGACTGTTTATTTAATTTTCCTCTTTTCTTTCCGTCCGTCGAATAAAAGCGCGCCGTCGTGCTAGAGGGACGTTATTTTGCTAGGTGGGTAATTAAAAACAGAACTGTTCGCGTTTAAAGGAGAAGTACGATTTAATTGCCACTTAATCTGTGACCTACATTGCTTGCAACAATCTAAAAAGCTAACGTTTAAAGACGCGCACTAAAAAGAGGATCGCATCTTGTCCTACTGTGCTGCCACGTTATCAAGCTTGAAATTTCATTTAGTGCATGTGAGGGAACGCGAAGCGTGATCCTGCTTTATTAGTTCGAAATTGATCTCATTTCGTAGTAAACAAGACGTGAAACGCGATCGTTTAATTGCTTTCTCAATTCCGAGTGATATTTGCATACGTACTACGCAGTTGCGATTACTTGCTTCTTATTCGATCAAATTAGTTTAGTTTGTGTGGTTACAGTGATATTAGAGCTAAAATCCACTATACACTAAGTTAATAAGCAGATTTGATCAATTTCCGATTTCGATTCAACGATATTACGAAGTAACGAAACGTTTTAAGAATTGCAAGAAATCGTAGATATATTTTGGATAGTTTTTTAAAAAAAATTAATAATATTGGGGAAATTGATCCCTTTTCTTTAATTTTTGGTTAGTCCAGGATTTATAGGTTATAAAAATTATCGTTAAAGAATTCACTTACATTTAATCTAACATAACCTAACCAATGGACTGACAGTTTTAAAAATCAAGTTACGTACCTTCGATAACTTCTTCTCTGGTTCCATTAAAATATCGAAGCACTTTGCACTAGGGATTGAAACGGTTGCACAAATAACTTAATAATTATCACAGATAATTGAAATGCCCAGAAATAATACGCAGAAACAAACTTTTAAAAGTGTGCCCTTTGAAAAACTGACAAAGAATCAATGCAGAACCGGTTCTTTACAACTGTTCTAAAAAGTAACAGTTCTTTGAAACTGTTTCGAGAACTGAACAAATATTATAACAGCTTTCAATCCCTGCTTTATACTAAAAGAAAATTCACCAATCAATTATCAATAAACCCTCAATTAGCGAAAGATCCTCGACCCACTTATGTAGATCCCGTAACAACTGCTCGCCTAACCTCCGATGCAACGCTGGCCGTTGTATAACACAAGATTAATTCAGCAGATGGCAGCGTAGATTACAGTAATCCACACAACATTGCCGATTAAACACGCGCTTTATGTGTGAATATTACAAGTAATCTTTCCGTAAACATGCTTGTTCCTTTTCCAACGTACAACTAAATAATCCGGTCCAGTTCGATTCAAATTAAGTGTTACATATATGTAATTCCACCGACAGTTCTACATTCCGCGTTCCGCTTGTTCAAGCTGTTCTCTACTACGCCATAGGTGCCGTATGTAACGTTATAATTTCATTTTCGTGCTACATAACGAACAGGTAATTACGCGTGTGTTTCTCTGAACGATTCTCGAAACTCGTCGACAAAACACGCGAAGTTTCTGCAAACATGAGCGGAACAGAGCGTAATATGTTCATTTTGGTGAATTCGCGACTGATACGTACGAATATTCTTGGTTAGGATGTGACGCAGTAGGTTAATACAAACGAAGACGTATTTGTTCTAAAGTGACAAAAGTGAGAGTTAAATAGATTATTTATTTATTATTTTTAAAATAGTGGCGTATCTTTGTAAGAAAGTGTACAATTTGTGAAAACGGTATATAGCGAGGCCGTAAAATCGGTCAGGTGTCAAAGTGTACGTAATCTGAGAGCGGGAACGGCAGTTTGAGGGAGATACGAAGCTCGAGTCTCGTTCAGTACCGTGGATGTCAACTTCGTTGCAGTATATTTGAAAAATGTGTCTGTGCCTTAATCCTCGACAATTGGCAGGTTAGTTTTTACCAATACAATCACTATTGAACAGCAGGCAACGTGAAAATTTTCATAGTTTGATTCGAATTTTCGAACTATAAAATTGTCTAATTCCGTTACAATTCTAAAACGAATAATTTTGAGGTTACGTATTCTGATTACTGGCTCCTATAATTACGAAACTTTCTATTTTACAATACTTATATTTGATTGCCTCGGTCCATAAAGCTCATCGATTATATAATGCTTCGAACCAGCAGTTCTAGCAGTCTTCCTTAATTAAAGAAAGCTCATCACACCGAAGTTTACGATATGTAATATTACAGTTCAAGAATCATTCCCACGTAGTTTCTCAACTCGCTTCTATCAGTTTATCGAGCTCGAAACTTCTGTCGATCGATCTCTATGAGCCATAAGTTGTTATTTGCTTGCAAGTCTCGAAAGTTTACGCTTTCATCTTGTCTAATCAAAACATCCATCATATGGAATTTTTCTAACAACGATCTTGATTTATTTTCTTACGTTATCACTATTATTTTATGTTTTCAATAATAATAATTCTCAATAATTTCGTATTAAATCTAAATCAAATGAAAAAATTTCAAGTAATTGTACATTTACATTTGCGTGCATAAAATGCTTCCTTCTCTACGCATTTCTAATTTGCTAATTGGCATGAAATTTACATCGACACATAATAGAATCGTTTTAGCGAATTTCCTAAGATTTCAGTTTCGGTGAATGGAGTATTATGATATTACCGTTGCACGTATATTGTCGTGGTTAATTTAATTAACTAAATGGCAGGAATATTGATCTCTGAATGTTGTAGAATTCCTAACACAATACTAATATACAGTAACCATTAAAGCCTCTATTATACCGTTCAATTCGAACGTTCCAGCTTAATTGCAGCGCGACGAATTTTCCTATCAATAATTTATACGCCGTTTGAAACTATTACTAGTGCAAGTATGTAAACAATAATTATTGTGGTACGACGTTTTTATTTTTGACACCAGGTAATCTTTTCTTCTTTTTCTAAACCCTTCCCAGACGATTGTCTCGTATTTTTTCGCGTTCTCTATTCACTGTATGCACTTAACTTTTCGCTCTGTCTGCTATTTTCACTCAAACTTTATTCTTACGAACGGTTCGTTCTTGGAAGCGGCTCGCTCCCACGCATATTCAAAGCTGTCATTCAACCATACTGACGCACGTATACATTTTCTAGATTGTGCAGTCACATGTAGTAGCTTGCAGAACTTTTTCCGTTTCAATAATACTATAACATATACTTATTCTTTAAAATACGGAAAATCAAAATTACCAGTGTAAAATAATTTTAATCCCACGCATGCATTCAAAGAGTGTTATTAACTCTTTTAAAATTCCTTTTCAACTTATTTTTATTACTTTTTTAAAGAATTTGTTATTTATTTACCAATCCTCTCGTCCGCAATGAATACTAAATTAAGATCAATTTTTATTCAAATACTCAATTGAGACATACGCGTTCCACTGGTTATGAAAGGGTTAAAAATTTTTTAAATATCTCAGAATGTAAATACAAGGAAATTTCTCTTAAATTATACATTCAAATTTTATTTCTATACCAAAAAATAAAAAAGCTCATTCTAAGAGGATTTCTTCGATTTAACGGTATATATCTACTATTATCATTATTATTTATTTATTTTCAGCCTTATATCTATGAAAAGGACTTAGTTTACAATACATTATTTCCTTATCCATTCACGCTCGATTTTGTCTTGTCACTCACACACTCATTCTTTGTTTACCCATTTCCTAACTATCTATATTTTTCTTAATAATTTTATCTAACCTATTCCTACCCTCCTCTTATTGCATTCTCTTTCCTTTTCCTTCCTGCTGCACTTCTTCTCTTTGGCTTTATCGTCCTCCTACCATATATGTATATCTACTATTATATTATACTTATTGTTAGTATAAGAGATTGAACTTCAATATCTCCAGATACTTCAAAAGCAACTTCAATTCACCGACTCGTTGCTTATATTCGATTACCCTGTTTCGTTTTACTTCGTTTCTCCTCGAGCTGACACTTTGTTTTCGAGCAAAGTGAAGTCTCTCGATTGGACTTTTCGCATTTCAGGCGGCGAGGCGCCAAAAGTTAACGAGTGCCCGAACGACATAGAGGTCAACGGAAGAAACGGGACAGCTATCACGTGGATCGAGCCAATTTTCACGGACAACGTGAAAGTGACCCGGATTAGGAGCAACGAGGTCAGTGTTAATTATAACATGTTTAATTTCTTAACGATGTACGATCGTATTCTGATTGTTGAATATGTGTCGCGTTCGTTACGACGAATCTATCAGAATCTATCAGATCGCGTAGACTTTGGACTGAACGAGTTTGTGCGAGTTTCTTAACGAATCTGCGCATGGCGATAGCGTTTTAATCGAATGTCGACAAATTCGTGATAAATAACGAAGAAACTTTGGTTACTTATGCGATCACGAAGTGTCGAATGATTAGATATTAAATTTTACGATTAACAGAGAAATTTTCGATCGAATAAGGATTAGATATAACTTACCAGGGATAATCACCGATTTTGATGAAACTTTGGTGTATATGTTGGTTTATGTTGGTAATTGGCTACAGTGAGAAAGTGGAAATCGCCCTCAAAGTTAGGGGTGATAAATATATTTAGTATTTCAGTGACAAAATTTGAGAAATACAAAATTATTTATTTTTCAAATTTATAGCCGAAAAATACAAAATTTGTCAATTTACTTAATTTCTCTGTCTATCTAATAATTTTCGAGATGTCAGACCAAATATGTTTGCTACCCTAATCTCCGAGGGCAATTTTCACGTTGATAAAAGAAAATACGTGTCAAATATTTTTTCTAGTACTACCATGTACCAAAGTTTCATCAATATCGGTGATTATCACTTGAAAATGTTCCATTGTTAGTTGAATTTTAAGTTTCACTATTAATAATGTTTGTAAATCGGATCGTGAATCGGATAACCAAGTACAAGTTGATTAATATAGGAATTAGCAAAGATCGTGTATCGGTATGCATAGAGTGGAATCTTCATTTGATTAATGACAATTCATCACTGATAAGATATAGGTTAATTGAAGTCCAAGTGATACGTTCAGTAGTAAACGCGTCTGATAATTTATACGACGAAAAAGCTTCATTTGATGAACTATAAAGCACAGATTAATTTAATTTTAATTCTCATAACGGTGCATCGTGGCGTTGTTTATTTTACACTCATTCAACCGTGCGAATAATGCATTTCGCGAAGCTTTGTACCACTTGAACAAAGAATTCGCGAAAATTCTATCGGAAGTTCCTCGAATTTTCGTCAATTCTACCGATTTTAGAGAAACGCGCACGAAATAATGCTTTATTTCAATAAATTCTCAGTTTTACGTGGAATTTATAATTCACTACGATGCAGAATGAAAGGAACAGAGAAAGAAACAAAATAATAAAAAGTATAGTCTGTTATTCTAACTTACTCGAACGATTCTTTGTTTCTTCGTTCTGTGACGAAGTCGAATTCACTTTTTCTTCGCCGTCGCGTATTTTTCTTTCACAACGTTGAAATTACATCATTGAAATTCAAATACCGGCTACATCATTTACGGAATAAGCATAGTTATCATTTTAATTTCATACTACCATTCGGCGGGATGAAATTTACATAAGAAAGAGAACTCACGAGGAAAGAGGGAGGAAAAGAAGAGGGGAAAAAGAAAAAAAAAAAAACATTAGGGAAAAAGTAAGGGCAACGGACCGGATATGCAAACAGGAACAACCCCAGTTCTGAAATACTCTTCGCAGGTGAAATTACTGCTGAAGAGTTTCTTACTCCAGAACGCAACGGCGCTGCGCTGCATGGAGGAATCCCTAAGAAGATTTCATTAAAAGAGAAACACCCTACGTTCGCTCTTTTCTCCCCACTATTCTGCCTGAATAATTCACACCGATAATCTAATTATTTCCTTTTTCTAACGAATTTTCAAGCGAACGAATCAAACGCATTGTCACATGGTAATTTGAAATTATGGTAAAAAATATCGCTCGTGCGATGAATTATTCTAAAAGAACGATGCACTGTAAAAAGAAAGAAAGTCAAATCTATTGTTTAACTGTGCAAGAATTTTGAAAGAAAGAGTAAATAACAAATATCGGGTAAAAGGAGATTGAATAAAAGATTGGACAGAGCAGCGAACGTAGCAGCAACCTCCGCTGATCTTCAAAAATATCCCAAAGAAGAAACTTCAGTGTTGTTGAAACAGCGAGTGGAAAAACTCTGTTGCACCCTGTGCAGTCGAAATTAACGAAGGATTTCCTAGCATGAACAAGAATATGACAACTGTAGATCTGATAGGAGGCAAAAAGTAGTATTAAATAGACTCGAAATTTCATGCCTACCCTCTAAAACCAACCCTCCAATTGGCGATGTATATAATTGCCGAATAACTGTAAAACACGTTCTTTTAATCTGCCCTAAGCATACAGAGACTCGTTCGAAATTTCAAATTAAAGAAACGTCGAATGAAAATCTCAGCGATCATCAGCAAATACTGAAAGCATCCTCCTAAGAGAATTTCTCTAATTTCTCGTAATATATTAATATTAATTAAAAATATTACAATATCAGTTTGTATTATTAATTAAAAAAAAAAGAAGATTAAATAAAGATTCTTTTTGGTGTAATTAATAAATGTACGTGTGGATGAAAGAAAAACAAATTCCTAGGTTGATCGTGAATCGATCGCGATATTTTCCATCGAACTGGTAGCAATTTTCATTATGGTACGACGGTGAAATCGGTGTTATTGGCGGATGTTGATTTGGTTCGCCTATCAGTTCCAATGGCTTGTGCAAATTGCGGAAAATTTGCCGAGAATTTAAACTACGTAAAGTTTGCACAGGCAACGTTCTATGCTTCCAGGCAAATATCATGTAACAATTTTGTTTACAAACTAGTGCGTGATGGTGAACCGTGCTTCGCGGCTACGGTAACATAGTACAAAGAATATGACGGTCCCTCATAAATACCTACCAGTCACCTGTAATCTTTTTCCGCGAATTTTAAATCTCCGCTTGTGTGTCGCGGCGGATTTAAATATATTAAACCGTAACTGAAGCTGCAAACAAAGAAAACGAGGAAAAGGAAGTATCATGAAAAAAACTTTACCTCGTGTTTGTTTTTCGTAGTGGATTCTCTTATCTAATAGCGCTTTTCGTGTTTTTTTTTAAAAGGACAAGTAAGCAGATACTACACGAAAAGCGTGCTTAATTATCTTTATTATGGGTGTAGAATGTAGAGAATTCGTTTCTTGTTCAACATTTTAGCGGAGAATTTGACAGATTTGGAAAATTTTTCAAATTTAGTAAATTAGGAAAATTCTTTAAATATTTCAAAGGTAACTGAAAATTTATCAAATTTAATAGATCAGGGAAATTTTTCAAATTTAACAGATCAGGGAAACCTTTCAAATTTAGCAGATTAGGGAAATTTTTCAAGTTCAGCAGACCGTGGAAATCTTTCACATTTATCAGATTGGGAAAATTTTTCAAATTTATCAGATAAAGAAAATTTTCAAATTTTATATTTCCTATATTCCACAAAATATGTAAACAAAGCCAAACATCTCCAGTTATTTCAAGTTTATACAATCCTACACGCATATTTTCTCTCCCTAATTACTACAAAAAATTCCATGGAAGTCGAGAAAAGTTTCAGATCTATAAAACTTCGTCGTTTCGTTCGCATGTTTCAGAGTCCAGGACGGCGTTTCGACGTCGGCGGCCACAGAATAGAGTACGAGGCGAGCGATGAGGCAGGTTGGTCGAGCAAGTGCGTGTTCACCGTGGTCCTCCGTCAGGAGTGAGCGGGTGAATCGCGGTGATCAGGTGAGCGCGATACCACGGAGGAAGTAAGAGGAACGAAAAGGGGTGATCCAGGTGAAAAGGGGGGCAAAGGTAGCGGGCCGGAAGAGTAGCGATAAGGTAATATAAATGGAAATGCTCTGGACTCGTGCGCGTCTTTCTCTCCGTGCGCGTAATGGATTCCGTTTTATCCGGAAGGCTAAACGCGGACGAGACACGGATATCTTTCCACGATACCTTGATACACACGTGGCTGCGTGTTCAAGTGGTTGGAAATCACTCGGTTTCGGTGTTGAGAGGGGTATTTGGAAATCGTCATCTTGAGTAGGATGTGAGACAATTTAATTTCACGTTTCGAAATATACTTTTTATTCGAGAGACTCAAAGGCGAGCATCGCGAAGTGGTAATCACCGATATCGATGAAACGTTGGTATATGGTAGTACTGGAAAAAATATTTGACACGTATTTTTTTTTTTATTGGCAATCGTGCAGATTGGAGGGGTGAAAATTGCTCTTAAAGATTAGGGCGAGACACGTATTTGGCCTAATATCTCGAAAATTATTGATCAATGACAACATTTGAAAAATACAAAATTATTTGCTGAAGAATACAAAATTTGTCTATTTAGGGGGAGTTCCCCTAGCACCGGATGCTTAAGGTTTTGCTTAAATAAATCTCTCTACCTGAAACGCGTAGAAAACTCATTTTTCTTCCTTTTGTCTCCTCTAGGAGATACGCAGAATAACGGCTCGGTAGCGTTTCGATTATTGCAGATATAACTAATGTCCGATATTAGGTGCCGTCCGGCGTTAAGGGAACTCCCCTATCTCTGATATGTATTATTTGAGGCTTTCGGGTGTAAGCCGTGTCCAAAAGAAGTTATATTCCGACGTTTCGCCAGCATTGCAGTTAGCTTCTTCAGGGTCTGGAGACGCACTGATAATGGTGTGCGTCGGGGTGTTCACTCCTATAAGTACCTATGTTCATGTTCCGGATCAATGATTCGACCAATCAGTTTTTAATCGATCGATCAAGTAGACAAAATATATTTACTACCCCTAACTTCGAGGACGATTTTCACTTTTTCAGCGTGGCCGATTTGCAACATAAAAAAATTCTTGTCGAATGTTTCTTTGAGAAATTCTATACACTAAAGTTTCATCAAAATCGGTGATTATTGCTGAGAATTATTTTCTTCATTTTTGAGGATGGACTGTAAATAATCATCTCTTGGAAAAAAGAATGTTTAAACGTATATTTGTATACCTGCATTTTCAATGATTAATCTTCTCATCTCTGTTCACTCTTTCAATCGCACCGAATTTAGCGAAAGAGATTACGCTTCGGATGAATTTTGAAAATAGCACGAGTGTGTTTAGTGTGAGGATTAAATCTTCGCGGTTGGCCTACCTTTGCGCTGTCGATTATCGATTGTTTATTAACGTATTTAGCCGAGGATTATCGCGGCTTTAGTCCGCATGGAATTATTAACAAGCAACAATAACGGCGCGAAGGAAATTCTCAGAAAGTCACGAACGAATATACGATAAACTAGCCGAGTACAAAGTTTCTTCTATGGATAACGGAACGGTAAGTTAAGAAGTTTCGGTGCTGCATATAGAATTAGAATCTTATTTTTATTTTAAATTTCTTACCGTATAAATTCTACGATAAAAAAACGGAGAAATTTCGTTTCTTATGTATGTACATATTTCATTACCAGCCTCTCGTAAATCTACAACATCGCTTGATAATTTTTTTTATCGTACCTATCTCGTTTTAAAATTTCAAACCACCCACCGCCAATCTCTTTATCTCGCGATTTCGTCGTTTACGAATCCTCGAAACCGCCGTGCTTATTTTTATTCCACTCGCCGTGAATAAAACACACAGACAAAGAGTTTAACAACCCCGTGAAACGATTATTACGTCATTTTCCGCGATACGTTGTACGGAAGTATATGATCTGAAACTCGCGGTTGGTACTCGTTGTTACGCAGGATGCTTTGGTAATTATTGCCAGTATCTAGACTACTTAACTCCCGCAGTTACGCAGACATTTGCTTGTTAACGGCGTACCCAGAGCCATCCTCGACATTTTATATCCGCCGTCTCCATTACCGGCTCAAAAACTGGCTAACTTTGAAACACTTAGGCGAGATCTCGCGTTACGCTGAAAAATACTACTCCACCCGGTATAATGTTTTACCACCGAACGACCCCGTACCTTTGTCCAATAAACGTTTCAGGACTGTGAGGACGCTTTAGAAATGAAAGATGACGAGTTCCAAGTTCACTCTATTCGCCTGGACGTAATCAACATCTATCCACGTCTCTGCGCGCAGCGTGTGTGTCGGTGATTATGGGAGCGGCCTAATTCAGAGATTTTGGAGAAATGTAGCAGTTACGCCTATTGAATTTTAACGTTATAATACGGAAGAATTTTTGACGAAAATTTTTTTAAGGTTAGAAATATATTTACAGAGTTAAACCACCATTTCGTAAAAGTGCACTTGTGTTGTTCTTAAAATGCGTCCAAAATGTAATCTCTTTCTCTGAGCTCGTTTCTGATCTAATCTAAATTAACAGAATCCCTCAGCTATTGGCTAACTATATAATAATTGTTCTGAGAGTAAATTCAACATATTTGCACAATATTCCTTTTATCGATAGGTTTAGAACGATCTCGAACGATTTTCCACAATGATCGTGTCAATTTTTATACCTTTTTTAATTCCACATTTTTTCTATTATGTGCAACAGTCCTTCTGCCTATTTTCATCTGTTACCATTTTTGCGCATAGCATTCGAAATTGCTCCAACAATTGCTGCTTCGTGTAACGTTATTCCATAATATCCCTGTAAAAGGGACGATCTTCAATTTCTAACACAGAATATACATCAAAATCATAATCACTGGCACATTTGCGCGTTGAACGTGTATAGCCAAGGTATTCCATTGAAGAAAGATGTCTCGTCGATCTTCCGTGGCCGACTTTTCGCATCTCACAGCGCTCCACAGGTTTTCCCTCGCGCTCTCGTCTTTTCCACCTCACCATTCTTCCATATTTCACTCAATCGCGAACCACACACGGTGCACCCTGAAGCAAACCAGCCAGATCAATTCCAACCTTTAACGGGCGTTCTATCCACCTATTACCGCGATCACGATCGACACGCTCCGCCATAGAAAACCTAGAAATTTCCACAAACACGCCAACCATTCTCTCTCTCTCTCTCTCTCTCTCTTCTATCATTCTACACGAACCAAATTACAATTCCTCGTCGCCTCGTGACTAGCACTCACGATACACCCAGCGAGGACAAAAGACGAGGAAAAATAGACGAAAACGATGGGCGATTTATCCGTGATCCATACAGATCCACGTTGGTTCACTATAGACTGCAAAACCTTTCCATGCAAATCTGTAACGACAGTTTCTCGTGGAAACGAAAAGAACGCGTATTCATTTGCATGCATTGTATCAGGTCGTCGAATAAGTTCGTGCCGTTTATTGATGTGCCATTTAGATCAATATTTCAAACGTACCTGTAAGGAACTTGAATTACACTACCCCTTTTACTTCAAAGTGATACCTAACCTTGGAATTTTTTCTTTAGAAAATAATTGACTCTATCGAAAACTTCTCATGTGGGGTTTATTATGTTACCCTTGAGGAATGTAAAAGTATTTTGTTCATTCAATTTCTTTACAAAATGACTGCAGCAGCACGGTTTCACTTAGAACAAAATATCAATCGCGAGGGTGATTCTGGTCTAAATTGAGTAGCTATCCAAATGCCCAACATTCGAAAATTCTTAAATTCGAGCATCAGTAAGAGCCCTGGTATAAACACATCGCGGCACGAATTTGTTGCCTTATATACAGGGCGGTCCGTAATTCATGGTACAAATAGGGTCAGGGAGATTCTATGATTGAAAAGTAGACGAAAATCAAGAATTGAAATCCATTGAAAATTAGAACGGATAGTTTATTACTGCCACTGATTATGTTCGTTATTTTCGTTTCACACCTTAATCCTCGGAGTACGAGCCGTATAATCCGGTGCCCGGGTCTTTTCTGACCCCTCACGAATTTCTTTCCTTCGTTTATTCGATCTACTTCACTCCCTGATACAATTTGTACCATTAATCACGAACCACCTTGTATATTTCCTTATACATCCTTATTAGACGATCTAATAGTATACACGGTGAACGTTTTCGTTCGTTCTTTTTCACGGGATAATGATCGCGAGTTTGTCCAACAGGATGAGCCTCGCGATTCGAACGAAACTCAAGTTCTCCATCCTTGTCGTCCACCTCTGTTACTTGTTCGACAGTAACTCACCTTCTCTTCGAACGACAATTAAAAATTCTCGTCGGACGAACGATGTGTTCACACCGGTTAAACGAAATCGGTCGCGATTAATTTGGAAATTGGACGCTTCGTCGGGTGCGTTTCGCGCGGCTTGCAACTGACAGCCGGAACAACAATAGTTTTAATCCTACGAGGGTGATCAGGTCGTGTTAAAGGGCACCGCCCAGTCTGGCTCAGCGATCGGGAACGGAACGGATTTATGGAAATTACAAAGTCCGCGGGGCAAGCGTTGCGTCAAAGCCAGCCGGGTAGTTGAGGCTGTACGAATTATGCGTTCTACCGGACCGGGAACCGCGATTAACGGCTGGAACCGAGAGTCTTTTAATTAGCCGCCGGTCACGTTTATGTTTCGAACAAAATTCCCGACCGTTCTGTTACGGGCTTGTCGTTCGTTTCAGCGAAGTACACGCGCGCTTCGAGCTCCCGATGAATCATAGTTGCGTTTGACGCGTTGCTCTTTAGAGAGATGGGCTCGACGTTTCTGTAATTTTAAGAGCGTAACTTTGCCGGTTGTATACGAATCCCGCGGTTTGTGTATTTTTTCGAGCAGATTTTGTTTTTGACGTTTCCATCGAGAGTTCTTCGTGCGTTTTTTTTCGAGTAATACGGTTTTCGGGATTTTTGTGAATTACGGTGATTCGGGTAGCGTTGGCATCCGGCAATTTTTCAAGGATCACTTGGAAATTCTTTCCAGTTTCTCGTGATTTGTAATTTTTCAAAAATTGTTTAGCGATAATTTTT